ACACTTATAGTTTGTAATTAACCAACTTTCCTCATCTTGAATTTTTTGAAAAAACTCCCAAACATCTGCTGACAATTTCTTATTTATAATTCTTTCATCATCAGATGCTAAGGAATCATCTGATAAATTATTATCGTCATTTTCAAAAACTCCTGACATAGTTGTAATAATGCAAGGTGATATAAAAAAATGTAAGAATGTAAAATCCGTTATTCTTTTATTGTAAAAAGTTACGCGTGCAGATACACGTAACTGTTAATTGAACTGATCTAAAACCGGTTCACTAAACCGGTTTCTATCGGTTTGGTCTCGGTTTGGTTTAACGTTTGAACTGAACCGAAACCGATCCTATGATCAAACTGCGGTTCAAACCATCCAATCATAAACTGTTAACATCCCTAGTTATTGCCTAAATACTATACAATAAGTATATAGTAAGAAACTTTAAAAATATTCTATAATTTTCGTTTAACTAATATACTAGTATATAATTGGTAGTATATTGTATCTTCAGACACCATTCAGCCCTCTATGCGATCCAGATACATCTGAATATGTGTATAGAAGCCAGATTATAAATTATATTTGGAAGGGACTTTTTTATGATATAAATAACATGGTCATAATGAGGACGTAAGTAATTTTATTTTAGGTTGACTTTCTAAGAAGGTTGTATATTTATGTGTATTATTTCTAATCAGAGGTTAATTTTGGCAGGCAACTTTAAGTACAGTCGATGAAAATGGAAATTTTTGAAAACGTCAAACACTAATCAATGGATGTGGAACTGAATGATCAAAACATCAAACACCAATCAGAGGACATGATACCTGAATCTTCAACAAAGAACTCTAAGCAGAGTTCTACAAAATTAAACGCCAAAGCCATACCTATATTCTGAAAGAAAAAGGACTGACGCACTGTTATGTTTACAGAAAAGGCCTCCAGAAATTTAGATGTAGGCAGCAACTGTGACACATCCTTGACTCCTTCTGGTAATAGGTCTAAAAATAACGTGACCAAGCGTACAGCGTCTGATAGCAAGGCTCAACCTGCTAAGAAGAAACAATAATACGCTCCAAAAAAAATACAGTTGACCCCTTCTATAGTCACCCCACATATAGTCACTTCCTTCTCTTTAATCACATGGTAACTGGTACTGATTTTTTAAATAATAAAATACCTTCTTTATAATCACAAATATAAGTATAATCACTATCACATGAATTTTTAGGACGATATCGTTAGTTATTATAAATAAAATTCCCTCTATATATAATCACATTAAATCACGTGATTCATTATACATTTGCGAATCGAATCTGTGCATTTAATATGAACCATTCCTTTTTTACAAAAATCTATGCACTAAACCATTCCTTTTTTTACAAAAATTCACACATTAAATCATTCTTTTTAAAGAAATCTCACACTTCAAAAAAATTTTTTTGGAGAAACAACATATTTTAAATCTTTCTTTTTACAAAATTTTTTATGTCAAAATGAATCTTATACTTTCCTTTTCTTTACAAAAATCATTTACAAAAGTATAAAGCATAATGCCGCCTACATGTTTACAAAAAACAAAAAGAGAACGAACTGCTATTAATATTGATATAAAAAAGGAAATATGCAAGTACATGTTAGCAAATACTGATATAAAACATGCTGACGTTGCTTTGTTCTTTAATACAAAATATAAGTTAGATATTGATAGGTCAACCATTACAAAAATATGGCAAAGTCGTGAAAAATGGTTAACAACTCTTTTAAATTCAAACATTTTTCATTATCATTCTGTTCAGTTTCCAGAACTCGATAAAGCTTTGCAAATCTGGACGTCATAAGCAGTATCTGCTGGACTTTCTTTAACTGATGCAATATTACAACAAAAAGGACTAGAACTGGCACAAATGTTGAATATTAGTGAAAATCAGTTAAAGTTTACTAATGGGTGGGTATATAGGTTTAAAAAACGTAATGGTCTTCAAAAGATTAGATTTTTGGAAGAAGCTAGTAGTGCTCCACTTGCTACTTTTTCAGAAAAATGATTAAAATTGTGTAATCTTTTAGCTGCTTATAATGAAGAAGATATTTATAATGCTAATGAAACAGGACTTTT